TGTTTTCATGGGTTGAAGGTGGTTGCAGTTGGTGAGGATGTTGGTTGCACCACACCCTGTTGATCAGATAAGACAGCAATTAAAGACGTATGGAAGAAAAAAAAAAGGCTACACATATTTATGTTGAAGATCATAAAGAAGTCTTCATAGTATGCAGTATATTATTTAAGAATAAGAAATTGCCATAGAATAAGAAAATGCCATTTTGGTGCAGATGTAAAAGTGGGACCAAAGCTAAACTTGCGTGAATGTCTATCCTCATTTGTGATGTGTTGCTCTTTTTTTTTTTTTTTTAATTTTAAAGATTTCATAGGTAGTTCTAAGTGTAAAAATAAGCCCTCAGACTTCCTTGTTTCTTGATATTGCAGTGTATGCTTTGTGCTTTTTTCTACTAGTAAGGAATCCTTTTTGTCAAAAATTGAGAGAAATCTTTTTGCTTCGCACATTAAAGGAAATGTGCACATTTGTGTACCCAAACAGAATTGGCTAGAGTTCCCAATGTGAACACAAGAACTCCTGGGAAGAAGGCAGTGCTGAAATACATATCAAAGTAAAGTCCTTGGTCAAAATAATTTTTTGTCTCAATAAATAATATACATGATTTGGGGAAAAGGCATTATTTACCTGTTCTGCATATATTGAATTCAAGTCGTAGATTCTTAGCTATTGTAAAACAGTATTGCGTTATTGACATCAGTCGGGTTGCTGTTAACTCATACCAGTTGGGAATCGTTATCCCCTCTGACAGGGAAGTCCAGAAAGTATTCCAGTGCAGGAAACTGTCCCATCGTAGTTACAGTGGCAATAAACTGTTTAAAATCTCACTATACGCTCTCCATAATGCTTTCAAAGTGCTGATTTTAAAGGTATATATTCTAATAGCCTTTAAAAACTAAGCTGAGTTGCTGATAATTTTGATCACTTTTTCACAACATAGCTTGTGGTGGCATTACAGACTTAATGTACAGTGGGATTGAGTCTGTACCATGTTGCTTTTGCAGTTTTGATTACCCAGCTGTTGAGCAGCTATAGAATGTCTTGGATATAAAAATGTATTTTCATCCTTTTCTTAAGCCTATCTTCTGCTCACAGTATGATTCTACATGCTTAAAACTGGCATAAGAAAAGAGAATATCTGTAAGAATACAAGGGAATTGATTGAGTTTTGAAAGCAACCAACAAACAGCCTTTTTGGTGTTGTTTTTTTAATCTGATCTGGGCTGTAATGTTAACTCAAAGAAAAACATATGTCAATATGACTAAGAGTGTTGCATTGTAGTAGTGAGAATGAGCAGCCAGAGTCAAAGAGACAGAATACATTAGGTTAGTATTGCTACATTATGCTCTTTAGCTAGCCATTTAACGACTGAATGTTTTATAATGAGTTTTCAACCATAGAAGTTGACAGTCTGACCTGTACTCATACCGTCTCTCCTGTAGTCCTCACAGTTTGTCACGGTTCACAGGTGGTCTGTAGCAGGAGTAATGATCATGGAATTTGAAGAGCAGGAAAGTCATTTTAAGGCAGATAAGCACCTATACTGTGGTAATGAATGGGATAAAAAGAAATACTTTGGGGGAGGAAGCATGACTTTTGTGTTTTCAGTTTTGCCACAGTTTTCCTGTGTGTCTTAGGGCACTTAGCCTTTTGGTATCTATATTTTTTAGTCTGTGAGAGAGGAACAAGTGTTATTTCATAGATTTAGAACTTAATTCCATATTAGTTCTGAGAGTCATCTGCTTTATTTATCAAGGCTTTGACTTGCAATCTGCATGAGGCACACAGCCTACAGCTAGCGAGCTGTGCTGAAATCAAATCTTGCATGGTTTCTGTGAGTAACACCATTTACCCACAGAGAAGTTCTTAGTGTGTGTATCAGAGACAATGTGGACCTTTCCAACCTGTGTAACCTCTGTAATAAAGATACAGTTACTGCAGTTGACCTCTTGTGAAAAGTGGATCCATTTGTGTTTTTTATTCTGTGGCCTGAATAGAAGATGTAACAGAACGGGCACTGTTCACTGGACGTGGGAATTCTCCCTTGCTCTGACTCATGTAGAGCAGCAGGGAGGGGGAGGAAAACAGGCTCCACAAACTCACTATCCAGTTTTGTCATTTAAAAAACCTTTTTGATCTGAACTTTATACACTTAATATTCCAGAGGGTATTTAGAAGTTTGATAAAGTGCCTAGTAGTGCTAGAGAAAGATAAGGCTCACTATTGTACTCAAACAATGTTGTGGTGCCAAGGCAGTATGTTTATGCTTTTTTTTTTGTTGCAAGACTAACAGTGCACATCAAGCTGCATATCATTTGGTATTATACTAAATAAAGGAAACAAAACCCAATCGTTCTCTAGGTTGCCATGAAAAAATGCTTTAAGCTTAATATGCAGCTACATTGCAAACCAGTCTGTTGGCATGATGTATTGCTTCACAGCAGCTGGGAGTAATACACTGTGGTAAAACTACCAGTGTGGTGGAGGCCAAGATTTTGTTGTGTGCAGCAGAGAAAGATAGTAATTTTTTTCCCCATTATAATCAACCATTATTTTGCCAGTATGTTTTCTAATGTGTCTTGCAGAGTTTCATGGTAATTTTTCAAAGCTGGATTTATGTTCCACCACTGCGGTCAGTCAATTTTTAGCATGCATAAAAGAAGCATCGTTGCCAAGTTTTCCTTCAAGCCTGTGAAGTCAGAGTTGCAAGGAACCAGGACAAAGCCTCAATAAGCTTTGGGAGCTAATGGGGAATTGCACTCTTTGTTTATAGCACCTGGCACGTTCTCAAAATCTGCTTCTCAGGGGCCAAACCACACATTTCCTGAAGCAGATAAGGGGGATGCCTTCTTTCCCTGAGTCACAGCTCTCTGTAAATAAGGCAGTATAGAGATATATTTTACAAGTGTACTTTCTAGAGGGATCGCAGCTAGCACATTGCAAACTTTATCTCAGAAGGCCTGAACTTCAGGACTAGTTAAACTGCTTAAGTTAAAAAGAAGTAGAGACTTTAAGATAAATTAAGTTGAAATTAAAGGTTTCTTTACCAAAACGAAATATGTGGATTAATGAAAATGAAATGTTTCAACTGCATGGGGAAAAAAAATGTTAAGAAAATGCTAGTTCCACAAAAACATTGACATTCTAATTATTGTTTCTCTGTTATCTGGGAAAATGTTTATTTTCTTGGCAATTTTGAATTTTGCTTTCTCTGCAATGTGGCTCTATACATAAGAATGCTATACTACTGATTTTTAGTAAGAACGACTCAGATGACTTTTAAGACAAAACATAACTGACCTGAAATCTCTTGATGGGAAATATAACAAAAACTTACAAGTAAGTGTGACTTACTGTGGAACTGCAGTGTGACTGTGGAACAGATTTCTAAATCACCTATGAGAAGTACACTAGTGAAGTGTACTAGAAGTACACTTGTTTTGTCCAGTTAAATATAACCTGCAAATTCAAGATACTTTGTCATCTTATATCTCTTATTTTTATATGCCAATTTATAGTCTACTTGCCAGTTTGGGGGGGGGGGGGGTTGTTTTTTTTTTTTTTTTATATACATAAATCATATTTAGGAATAAACTATTTGGTTAACACATTTTTGTCCAGCTTTATTGTTAACTTTCACTTCAAGTGAAATTTTTCCTTTCAATTTTCATATCTCTCAGTTGCATTATAAGTGCTTTTTGGGTGTCTATTTCAGCTTCAGATGAAAACAGCTCCACATCATTCTCTGCTGACCACAAGAAAGTGGCAATTCTAACTCTGGAATGAGGGCAGTTTCAGTCCAGAAATCATTCCTTTGACATCAAATAGCTGAAATTGCTCAATGACTTCTTTTTTTTTTTTCCTAAAACAAAACACACAAACAAAAAACACCAACCCAAAACCAGTGTAACTTTCAGCTTAATTACTTTCTTCTTTGCTGTAGACATTGGTATGCATGTATAATATATATGCAGGTAGCACATGCATATATATTATATAGAACTGCAACAATACTGGATTATCAACAGAGATTGGATTTCTGTGTTCATGCGCCTTGAGACACATGTTCTATCTGCAGAGTTACAGGCTGAAATGCACATCAAGTCTAGACAAAGTTCACATACTGAAGAAATGAGTCTGATTCATAGTCCACAGATTCCACAGCCAAAGCAGGACCTACTACCACGACCACTGTTGGTTTCCCTATTAACTGTGTTTAGCACAGAGTAAGGACCAAACCATCAGAGGTGAGTCAGGGTTAGGATGTGGTGGCAGGCCAATACAGGGAGCTGTGCTTTATCATATCTGAGGTTTAAAGAAAGATGCAGGATTTCAGGACTGGCAGCACTTAATTTCTACATGTGCATGCATGCTTAAGGCTTATTAAAAAAAAAACCTTCACATCACCTATGTTTAATTTTATTTGCACGTCAACAGGAGCTGCAAAATCTAGATATGTTTTTAAGCTTTTTTGTTTCTTGTTAGATACTGCTTACTTAACTGAAGTTTTTATACTGAGTTTTATGTAACATGATGATCTAACAGAAATACAAGCAGTGCTGCATAGTTCATTTGGGCTGTGTGCCCTTGTGTTGTATTGCTCACACCTTATTAGCCTTCAGCAAATGTTCCACTTTTCTTTAGTTTTGGCAAGCTGTTCAGAACACCATTTCCTTCTTTTCATGCTAGTGGAGTCCAATTGTTCTTTGCTTATACTACATTAGCCTTTCCCAGAATTTAGCCTGGAGTTTTTATACACTGGGGAGTTTCCAGTGTGTTTAGATTATACAATGATTTCCTAGTGTGACTATGACGAACCATGTGTTCAGATAATACTGTCCAACTGGATTTTGTTGCTGTTTTTCTGTGTTTCATTGCAGTATTTTCCTATAAAGAAATTATGCATACAATCATTTTGTCCCTTGAAAGTGAGAGTTTTCAAATCATCATCCCAAATAGTTAGGATTCTTCCAGAACTTTTTCTTGTTCTGTTTCTTATCAGGTTTGTGTAGGTCAGCTGGTGTAAGCAACTTTCTTATCAGCCATCGTGAGCAATTAAAGGAAGACTCTGTGATTACTCCACATGTTAATTGGGTGAGTGGATAAATATATTTAAAGTATCTGCATTTGGGTTTTTGCTATGGTTTTTTTGGTTAATAATCTCTTCCCACCCCTATGCCTGGAAGACTACACCCAAACTAGCCTTAGTCATACAGTTTCTTCTCTTCCATTTCAATATCCACATTGAAAACCATTCAGGAAGATGACCTGAAGTGGCAGGTAGGAAGGAAGCCCTTCCTCCTTTGTTTTCCCCAGTTTCTCCCAGCCTACTTGGTGGTGGCTAGTTTTAGGCACAAACAAATGGTCCATATGCCTGTTTTTGATGATAAAACAGTTTAGAAGTAAAATTCAGGGAGCACTGAACATTTAGCATTTCTAGAGTCAATAAGGTTTTGGACAGCCCATATTCAAATATTATCTGTAATCCCTCTAAGCAACACTGAAAGCCTCAGGTAATTGCATATCCATGCAAGGGTGCTCGTTCCCGTGTTCCCCTCTTATTTCATATTCATATTTCAAGATCTCAGTGAACTTCAGTGGCCACCTACAGACCAGCAGACTTCCAGGACACTAACAGCTATTCCCTTGTTGCAGTTTTGTGCTCACAGCTGTGCTGGAAGTTCATGCTCCCATTCCTACCAGCTCCTGGCAGTGAAAGTATGCTTATGCTAGCATAGATCTGGGAACTGGAATGGATGAAGTGCAGGCTCACGCTTTTCCCCTTTGTACAGGTGGTGAGGATTTCTGGCAGCTGTTTATGAGTCAATGTCATAAACAGGCACGAAAGGTTGCTCAGAATGTGACTGTCAGAACTGAACAGCTGAGTTTTGCTGTCTGCTAGACTAAAGGTTACTAAAGGACAATTATGAGGTAAAACCATATCAAATATTTAATTCTGTTATTTAAAATAAACTATTGAAATATGTCTTAAGATGGGCAATTGGATGACTAAGAATGAGTGAATTTGCCAAGGTTAAATTGTGTTGCCTCTTCAGAATTATAGATCTTCAGAGTCTTACTGGAGTTTGGCCTAAGTTGTTACTGTGTGCTAAATGAGAACAGCCTTTCAGTGTCCCACTAAATCACTGCAAGGAAAAAAAAAAAAAAGTAATCTTGGGTTTGGATTGAAATTTTCTTTTACCTGCAATGTCAAAATGTTACCAATCTTGCTGTGTCAGTAGCTTTAATGGAGAGAAGTTGTTTCTTGACACTATTCAATGGCATCTTTTTTTTTTTCTGTGGCTGAAAAAGACACAAAAAGTTTAGACAGTAGTGGTACCTAGGGGTGGGAGGGGGCCAGGAGGGTGCCCCTGCTTTGTTCAGCTAGTCATTTTTTAAGGTGATGCACAGAATTGTTCCAAATTAAAACCAAAACAAAACCAACAATGAAGTATCCATGCTATTGCAAACTACTCCATTTTGAGCAGTTTTGTTATAGCATTAATTTACACTTTTTAGAGTTACAGGAATCTTATAAATCATAGCTCAGGTTCTCCTCAAGAATATTTTTTCTGTTTCTTGCTTAGTGTTGGAGAGTTACTAAATCTGATGGTGGGATTCCTAAAGTATTATCAAATAACTAATGCATTCCTAAATGTAAATTGGGAATGGAAGTGCTATACTGAATTCTTATTTCACTGTCCAGAATTTATAATACAAAAGATCTTTGCTATATGTATGTATAAAACACCATACTCTTTCAATGAACTTACATCTAAATACAAACCCTTTGCAACAAAGTCCAAGTATTTAAGAAATGGGTGAAAGAAAATCGCTTCCCTCTTAGCTCTGTTAAATTTGCATAAAAAATTTAGGGTGTTCTTGCAGTTCCAACAGTTAATATGATCTCAAAAGGGAAAGTTATATTTTCTGAGAAGAGGAGGAAGCAGAAAGGCAGAAGAAAGGAGATCATTTATTAGACTTCTATAGTCTTTGCAAAGCAGGTAGTAAGCAATGCTTCTGTTTTACAAATGAAGTTGTAAGTACTGCCTCTCTTCCTGGTTCCTGGAAAAAACAGTATCATCATGGCTTTTTAAAAACTAGGAAAGGCCTATTTTTCAAGACTATAATACTATTAAAGTATTTAGTATTAAGTAAGTACCTTTCAAAATTATGATCTACAGTTAAAAATACTGTTAAACACTGTGTAAAATGATGATATTTTATTCTAGCATCATGTAGAATGAAACCTACAACCTAGAAGTTAGAGGTTTATATTCCAGAGTTTGCAATTGACTTGGCAGCAGTAAGTTTGGATTTATGCTCATCTCTTTGAAGACTCATATGGCCATCAATCATCAGGAAAAAAAATAGACTTTGTAAGAATTTAATTCATGTATATGTTTCATTCAATGAAGTGGTACACTGAAGCCAAATAAAAACTGTTCCTCTCCATATTCCATGTAGGAATGCTCAGCAATAATTTTACTACTTTTATAGCAGTATTTTTACTTCTATATGTTTTTAGCATATTTTTTTTAATATTTTTTATTGTGTAAAATTACTGTGTAATGGCCTCAGAGACATTTAGTAGTGTTGTTAATATTGCCATTCATATTGAGCTCTGTCACGTCAATTTGTACAAGGTAGAAGTGTATTCTAGTGTTTTGAGGCATTAGGAAACAACCTCCGTGTATGTAAACTTACCTGAACTGTTCCTCTGTAGAGAAAACGTTTCTAGGCTTAATTTCAGTTTTCCAAAGAGAAACCATTGTAAGACTGTGCATTCCCCCTGAGAAACAGCCTGAAGTTCTGATGCAGGGAGACTTTACCAGGTGAAAAAAACCCACAGCAGAGTGGAGACAGTGAGGCTTTCGTACACCATCATTCATGGTAGGACTTCCTAGGCCCATCTGTCAGGACTGTTATTAAGGTTAGCTTTTCCCCATTGTGCTATGACTGTTATAAAACCCACCACTTCACTTAGTAGAGTTTCCCTGTGGCTGACCAAGTGGCAGCTGTGAAGAGTTCTGTAATGTGAACTGTAAACTGCTTTATTAAACAAGTGCTTGCTTTTATGCACAAATAACTCGGAGTAGAGTGCCAGAAAAGATGAAGCTCTTCCTCTACCACCATATGACAGACAGCCCTTGCCTGAGAAGAATTTGATGACTAAAATAGCAAGGGTGGGGCAAGCCAGGAAGTAGGAATTATTATTTTGAGGGGAAGCACATGTTGACCACTCACCCTTATACCTCTTCTAGCTCAGAATGCTGCCCCTTGCATTCAGCTACTGCTAGAACTTTCCAGAAACTTTTTGCAAGAAAAATAAATTCAAAAGTGCTTATTTCTTGCATTTGATAATTTTAGCAATATATTTAAGAAGATAAATACTTGCTGCTACCAACACATAACTGCATGTGCTGAAATTTAGTTGACAAAATTTGGGAGTCTCTTAATTCAATGAAAGGCACAAAGTGGAATCTTCCCGGGGGGAAGTATTTGTTACTGTGTATTCTGCTTGTGAACAGGGAGGTGACATCTGAACATGCTGTTCTTGCTTTAAATATTCCATTGTAACCTGGAACTGTGCTGCCTAAAAATCTTATTAGACCAGCTGGTAAATTCTGCTTACAGTTATATTAGTAGTAAATGCTGAATAAGTCACGTGATGCCATAAGGATACTACAGATTTTTCAGCATTTGATCCTAAATACCTCATTCTTTATCTAATATTTCAAAGATGTGTTGTTACACTTCGTGTAAAGAAAATCTACTAAAATTGCTTATTACTACTGTAATAGTTGAGTAATATACTCGGCTTACTCTTTTTTTTGCCTCAAAATCTTGCGTAAAACCAATGAGAATATTTTCTAGTCAGCTCAGGTGCAAACAAGTGAATAGCAGTATGACCTAAGCACTGGTCTTACGCATAGAAACGTGAAACGCAAAGGCTACTCAAAGGTCAAGAAACATCAAAGGCTGAAGACAGGGATGTCTGCTGCTTGAACCTAGTTCCCAAGTCCACCTAGTAATTTAGATCATAACAGCTTTAGGCTGACTCAGCCCAGCCTTCGAGGGGCACCGTTTTTTCTTAGCACATATTGAATGACTGCCAGCCTATTGTTCCCGACTATTGTTGTCTGAAAAGACAACATGTACTAAAGATGAGAAACAGGAAATGTTCATTTGTCCTCTTTGTGGCAGAAGAAATTGTCCAGATTCCATGTGTTGAGGTAATTGTTCAGAAGGGTATTTTTCTTCAAAATGCGCAAGAGTTATATCACTGGAATAATGGTGATGGCCAGTCACAGATGACCGCGTGTTTTATAAAATAAAACACTGCCCATTTCCATCTGAATCCAGAGGGAGATATGCTTCTTACAACACAAACTGTGAAATACTTGTTATTGAAATAACATCTCTAAGACTATTGCAGAGGTTCTGTTCTGTTACGATTTTTGCTATGTGACAGAATACGTGGCTTTTCCGAGATCTTTAATTTCCAGTAAGCTCTGTTTCCTTTCACTTCCAACAACTATGTCTTTCTGGCTTATTACTTTTTCTCCTATAACTGGTTCTTGGCAATTTGAGATCTTCCTTCCTACAAAAGGTCTTGGTGACACCACAGACAGAATAGAGGATTTTTGATGTACAATCCATGCCAACAGGCTTTGCTTCCAAGGTCTGGCCCCCATCCTAAGCAAATTGGTCTGCTCGCAAACACAGTCCCTGCTCAGCCCCATCCCCTTGCCTGTGCAACACAAAGATCATTAGTAAAGAAACAGGAAAGGAAGTAATTTGGGCAAGAGAAGGTAGTCTCAAATCACCAGTAAAAATGACCTGATGCTAATTTCCACTGTGTATTTGCATATATTTGTCAAACACAGAACAGAACAAGAGTACAAGTCCAACTGCAGGTAGGACAGATAACTGCTCTGCATACCTTACTGTTGGGGAAAGCATAAAATATGTATTAATCTGTTGTGCCTGTTAATGGCAAAAAGCTGCTGAATTAATAGCCTTCATATGCTTTCTAGGACTGATAACTTAGCTCTGTCTCCCAGGAGCAATGATTTAATTCATGTTGTATTTTTAAAACAAGACAAAAACTATTTTAATTTATCAGTGGTGTTTTCTACTATGTGTATGTTCAAAGTTTTTATTAAAAGTTTATTTCTGTTTACCTAAGGTTGAATACCACCCTTTCCAAAGATCTCAGGAGCTGGTCAATTATTGCAGGAGCAGAGATATTGTTTTTGAAGGCTACTGTCCTTTAGCCAAATGCAAAGCACTCACTGAGCCTAGGATCATTCAGCTGGCAAAGAAATATGGCAGAACTCCAACACAGATTTGCATATGCTGGAGTATACAGGTAATGCAGGGTGCTAATGAAAAACGTGTTTCCTCTCTCAGGAAAAAATGCAAAACATATCAGGTTTTGTGCATCAGACCAGAATTTATGCAGAAAGTATTTTTGCCTTCAGTATGTTGATATAGCAGGAACTAACTGTGCTGTACTGGAAATTTGGAATGTAGCACATAAAGCATGGCAGTATTTTTAAATATGCAAATAATCTGATTGTAGGGAATAAAAAGAACCACCAATAAAAGTGATGTTTTCAACCTAAATGTTACAAGCATTATGTGACATCATTCCATTTCTATCACTCAACATGAAGTACAAAGCAGTGAAATAGTGTATTAAGTTGACATAAACTATATCATCGATGTTGGAATTTAATACAGTGTACAGAAGTGCAGTTAAAAAGAGCACATAGAAATGGCACTGACTTCTGAAAAGTGACATTAAAACTGCAGAAGACGTGAGGAATATCTTGAAATATTTTGAAGAGTTACTTTGAAACTATGTCCATTTTAATGCTGAGAAGCATTACATTTTCCAGAATGGGATTGTAACTATTCCGAAGTCCACAAAAGGACTGAAAGGATACAGAAAAACTGCAAAGTAAGATCTGGTTATGCACTCAAGTCTAGCTAACATCTGAATTACTCTTTAATACTTTGGTTTGCCTCCCCATTTTCCTATACCAGTTTATGTATTGGGGCAAATTAGTTAAAATTGGCAAATTATAGTATTGTAAAATTGCTACAATATAGTAGAAAAATATAATTCACAAATGTCAGAAATCAACTTGAGAGCTAAACAATCACTGTGTATAAAAAAGATAGCTACAGAAAGTTCTTTCGTAGTTGATTTTTATCATTAATATTTTTATTTATGACTTGACTGATCGTAGGAAATCCTAATCTGGTTACGGTTAGGTCTTTTCTGTGATAGGCACATAGGTCAAATGGAAGGAGTTTATATGTTACACACAACTCTGTATGAATGCTGCAAAAATCTCCTGGGTATATCCCAGACAGTGACCTTTTAAGGCAGTCACAGTCCTGCCAGAGCTGAGTCTTGCCATACCTTCTTCCTTTTACTTCACTCACAGAGAAGGTCCAGCACAGACAAGGAAAAGTGGGGAATGAATGAGGATTGGCCGTATGATTTCCCTCACCCTTTTTTTCATTTTATTTTCATACTATATGTTTTAATTAATTGCTTCATTTTTCTCTCAGTTTCTCTAACCTGAAAGTGTGCTTTCTTTGGGGGAGGGGAGAAGAGGGGAAACCACAACAACCTTATTGTTCCTTCCAAAAATATAGTAGGGGTATGAACTGTTTGGCAAATCAGGAAGAAACTTTGCAAGAAGATAGGAAACTTCTGTCTGCTAGTTAAATCACTGTATGTGTGAGAGTAGGTGTAAATCAATGTACATGCAGTGAGGATTTCTCCTGGTAGCTGTACCTGTTCATGTCGCTCCTGCCCAGAGTAATTATTCTGATATGCACACTGCTTTCTGTGGTACACATACGACTGTTTGAGGTACTGTATTGTGAACCAGATCAGAGAACTAAACACACAGGGTAAAAATCCCAATGTTATTTTAAATCCAGATTAATTCTGTTTTTACAGAGTTTACTCCATGGCCTCACCAATTAATGCGGCACAACTGAGGGAATGCGTCGCAGCAAAACTTCAAGCATACACAGTATTTCTAGTTCTGTGACTGGCCCCTGGTTTACTTGAGCCCTGAGGTTTGACTACAAGGGTCATTCCAGCAGACAGTGATTGCTGGATAATGCAGGATGGGAGGAGCTCATTTGGCACCAGTTCAGGCTCCTCAGGATCTTTTTATTCAGTATGGAGGAACTCTGACAAAGTCAACAGACCAATTTAAAGCAACTTCTGAAGTTCTGAAGTGCTAATGTCTGAATAAGATGCCTGCTAAGAAAACACTGACAGGGAGATTCATGTTGCTGGTCTCACCACAGAAGTCAGTGGCTGTAAGAACCTATACATGAAAACAGGTGGTTGCCTTTCAAGTTAGTACTGAGGCACTATAGCACTGTTTGGTTTTGTATTAGCTGGTCCGTGAGGGCTTTGTCTAAGTAGACATGGAAAGGACAGATACAGCCTTTGGTTTGCTAGCTTTGTGAATGTGCTGATACCTTGTAATAATTCTCTTTGGCTGAAGTTCTGAGGCAAAGAACTGTAACACCCTAAACAGAACATTGTGCCATAAGTGAAATACTGAGCTCAGGCTTCCAGAGGGATTGCAGTCAGGGAAGTCCATATACCCCTGGAAGTAACCATATAGAGTGCTGTCAAAAGCAGCTTTGATGCCAACATTGTCTTGGACCCATGCCTGAGGCCAGAGTGCTACAAAAACATCTTAACAGAGTATACAAATAAAAACCAGTCACAAAAGGAGCAAAGAACCCAGTGGAGCCTGTCAACTTAATGGAATCTTGTCTATGACAAAATATAAGAGGAATTTCCAGAAGAAAAAAAATACAGAAAAACTCTCCCTCATGTTTAAATGAACCTTGGTCAGTTTAAATAATGGAAACGCTCATGATTTTGTGTTCATGATGTTAACTATATATTCATTCCCATTGGTGTTTGATTTTATAGTAGCAGAAGATGATGTTGAAATTTTGAACAGAATGTATGATGTTTCCTGGGACCCAAGCCTTACTGTCTGAATGAAGGTTTGAGCTTTTCCCTTTGTCAGTGATCAGTGAGTCACACCATGTAATTTAAATTCACAGAAAGTTACAGTAAGAATATAATTGTAAGATTGATGTCTGTTAAAATGATAATTGATTTGAAATCCTTAACTGATAAAAGGCAAAAGATATTTTTGAGGGTAACACTTTTGAACAGAGATCTTATATTTCTAACTCAGATCCTGATCCATTGTTCATTGAAGCCCATGCAAAGCCTCCTATTTATGCCACTGACCCTGCATCAGGCCATTTAATCAAAGAGCATGAGGAGGTATCCCTCCTTTAAAAAGGTAAGAGAAAATGCTACCTACTGCTGTACAACACAGCTGCTAAGTACAAAAGAATTTTTCAAGTGCTTTGTTAGAGATATAATGTATGAAGAAGAAAAAGCTAGGTGAAAAGAATTTACTACCATTATTATTGCAGTATTTGTACAATATGCTGCACATCTCCATCAAAAATATAATCTCACTGTAATAAACCATATCTGAGTAACACCAAAAAAAAAGCTTTTTGCATATTATTGCATATAAGTGGCACTGACCCAGAGAGCTCTATGCATATTATTTACTAGCCTGCAGATAGAACAAAGTAGAAATCTTTCCAGAGAAGTTTGGGTACAAATAAACTACCTGCATGGCTAAGAGTTGAGTAGCAATCTCCAAGAGCTAGAGAGGCATTTTTGTTATTACTGATCTTTTACTGGAAATTCTAGTGAGTTTTGTGTAGCTTTTAGTGAGCATTAGTTTAGGATTTGTTTTGGATTTATCCGGGAAATCTCATTAAGAGACTATACTGTTCCTCAGATTTTCTTATAAAATATGCAGAGAGAGATAGAGGGATAGATATATGTAGTTCACAGCTCTGCTTTGAGAGATAGGTCTACAGTCTTTTATCAGCTAAGTATTCAACTTCTAGTCACATTGGTTTGATATTTTAGGAGTTCCTGTGTCTAGAAAGGTATGGAAAATCTGAGTAGGATTTATATTGTGTGTGGACTTCCTGAGGCAGTTTTCCCAGTGCTATTCAGCTTTAGCCATATTGTGAAACAAAGCTCCTTAGCTTTTTATCAAGAAGTGACTTAAAGCAATCGTGTTCTAGCCCGCATTGTTTATCCTCAAAGTAAAGCTTCTGTACAGCTTGGCTAAAATACAGACAAATGCACCTTTTTGATAACAGAATTATCCAGTAACAGAGATAACAATTATCCTCGGAATAACTGGCTGTTTTTTCCTGGTAAACATTTCTGTGAAAAAAATAGTCTAGATTTGCCTCTGGAATCATTAATGTATTATTATTTTTAAATACAAGGTATTGCATGAAATGCTATGCTCACTAATCACCTGTACAACGTACCATTCCAAGAAAAATCCACAGCCCCTTCTACATTGTTATTTTCTAGTGTGGCCTGCAGTTGGAGGTGCTTCAGTATCTGGGAATGCCACTGGAGGTGTTTAAGAACAGCTATGTACTTGGTTTAACTGTTCAATAGTTCCAAAAAACAAGGCTCATTTATAAAATTAAGGTAATTTTAAGGCTTTTTTTTTTAGCTTTTGCAGAAAGTGATGGCAATGACTAAGTGAAAATTGGAAAGAATGCCCCAAAATAAATCTTTCTACCTGTGGTCATCATCTAATCCTGCTTTTGAAATTCACTTTATGTAACAATACCTTAGCAATAAGAGAAAAACCTGTTACTGTGCTGTTAAGGGGCTCCTTGCTTCACAGCGTATCTGAATTTGTAAAACAAGGACTAGAAGAGAATCCTGTGCCTAGTATTCACTCAGTGTGGCTTTTTGGCAGCAAAGACTTTCTCAGAAACTATGAAAGAGAAGTTGGAGTTTTATCTCTGGTTTTCCCTAAATAAACAGACATTACATCAGTGTACTATTTCCAACACTAATGATGCATATGAAGTGAACCAAATCTTTATGGATGCTAGCAAATTCTAGCTTCAGTATTTCAGTATTACCAGAAAAATATAAGTTAGGACTGGCTACATGTCTGGAAGTCCTGTGTTGTGCACAACAGTTCTGTTTTTTCTGCACTTAATTCTGACTGATCAGCTCCCCATTCTGAGCTAAACAGAACTAAACCAGATTTTCTTGCTAATCCCTCACATAGAAGACTTGAGGCTACCATGAGGGTGGCTTCCTATTTCAATTATATATATTTCGTTGTTCACTCTCTCAAAGAGATTTTACAATGATTTTTATGTCTGCATCTGTTTTTGCTAGGAAGTCAAGCCACCATTTTCTCTGATCTAGATCATGGTATCTAAGCAGTACAGTAAATAATGAAAGGAATAAGGAGAGAGAAATAGTATCACTAAGAAAGCATTCTTCTTGAGGAGCAGATGTGGCAAGTTGGTTTTAATTTGAGCCTAACTACCTTCACACATTTTTGTTCTTGTTTCAGGACTTTTTTCTGGGTTGGTTTGTTTGTTTGGCTTTGTTTGGCTTTTGGGGGGGGGTGGGTTGCTTGGCTTTTTTTTTTTTTTTTTTTTAACCATTCCTAGTAATTCTTGCTACCAGGTAGTGGCTTTAGAACTAAGGAAGAGTTTAATTTTGACTATGTACAAAGTCAAGTGTAATTTGAGGCAATATAAGCTTTTTAAGTGCCAGGACTCAGTGACCCAAACTATCTTTCTCAGAGGTGTGTGGAGTTTTGCACATTGTGCCATCGCTGATAGACATTGTATTCTGATAGCTCTAATTGCCCCAGGAGACTGGAACCCTGTTATCTCCTGTATGCTATCACTGGAGTGTCTTCCTTTAAATACAGCATTCAGAAGTCTTATACTGTGTTAGTTAATTTAGAATAATTAAGCAAAACTTCTTTTACTTTTGCTCAGGCTGCAGAAGGAAAGACAGACTTGGTGGATTCGTATTTTATGCTCTACTCTACATCAACCTCGATATTACCATTGTGGTAGATAAATTTCTGTTTAAGCAAAGCCTGCTGAAGAATAAATCCATGGCACCTGTCCAAAGGAGCGTTTTAAAGACCTTTGATCATACCACAAAGCAGTAAAACAGCTAATAAGAAATTGGGAAGTGAACAGTAAAGAGATTTAGGGGTAGCAGCGATGAGCGATATTCTGTAATAGAAGCAGAACCTAGAAGACCAGAAGGATATAAAAGTGCTGAACATACAAAATCAGGACATTTAACTCCATTTTTTATTTCTTCTTTGAGTAGTTTGCCTAGAGATGCTCTTTTTTTCTTTAAACTCAATATTCATCCTTCAAGTGAATTCTTGGGATTATATGCATATTCTTCCCCAGGGCTGAAATTCCTCCTCATGTCCTTATTTCTGTAAGATAAGCTTTCTCTAGAGAGAAAATTGTTAACCTTTCTACAATGACCATTTTTAAGGCAACAGTAATGCACCCACTTTAGCAATGTTAACCCATCTTCTTGCCAATAGGAACAGGGAATACACCTGAAAATTGAATGTACTTTTTCTTCTATACTATGTAGGTCTTTTATGGTAGTGACTGATAGGGGCCCTTCTTTCTAGTTGAGATAAACTATTATTTAAAGCAAGATACAATTTATCAGTGTTATCTACCCAAGTGCAATCAGCTGCTTTTGCAGGAGCACTTTGACTCTTAATGGAAGGGAACTCTCTTGAAACACATAAGGAAAGGAAAAAAATAACTGAAAGTCAGTGGAAAGGGTGAGGCTATTTTCTGTGCAGCCAAGTAGTTTCCTGTCTGACTCTGAGTGGCCCACTCTCTCCTCTTTCTTGCCTGCCACTGAATTTCATTCTTTATGTTACTGGAGATGAAGGCACCTAAGAACATTTTATTGGAAAGTCATGGAAATGTTTTTGTAAAGTGCCTATTTCAGGATTGTTTTTTTTAGCTAGATCAGGCTGCAGAAGTGTTTCTACCACCCCTATCCCCCAACATAACTTTCAAGACCTTACTTTTTCTGACTAACATGGGTAATAAAGAAACTATAATACTAGTAAGTTCACTGAGCCAAGCCAACAGCATAATATTCAACCCTCTTTTTGCACTGTGGTTAACACCGGCTGATTTTCTTTTTAAAACAGCAGTGCTGAACTGTTCTGACAGGAAAGCTGATGTTAACCCCATGTTCTTGAAAACGGGGACAAAGGTGGAGTAGCTCTTGTTAATGCCAGTTGACTCAAAGCAGTTAATTCTTTACACATTGCCACAGCCCTTCCCAGGCTTTGGAAGCACATCTCTGACTATAGTGCCTTGGGTAAAAGTAACAGATAAAACAACCTTCTGGCAATTTTTCAAATTGCTGTGGGAGTCTTTTTCTCCACTTAATCTTTTGGCACTTTTTGCAGCCCCTATTATGTCTGCACTTTTGAAAGAAAATGTTGACTATTTGCACTACCTTGTAATGAGCCTATGTTATATTTATGATATAAAAGATGCAGCCTTACTATTTGTCTTTATTAATAGCTGCTTATCCATCTGCAGCATCATATAGGTTTAATTAAAACTGCCAGGACATTACAGAATAGTAATGACTTGTAAGAGACCAGAGCATGAGTTACTATCTCCAAAACTTGGAACTACCTATTGAATGAATACATAGAGGAGCACAAGGCCTGAAATGAGCTGAAGTCAGTGACACTGGTTCTATTTCCCAACACATACTACTCTGTACACCATTGTAGGCGTGGCCTACATTAGGGCATGTGCTTCTCTAAGCAGCTTTGCACAGATCCATTGTACTGATCTCAGTCACCGTGCCCAAGAGGAATATTTAATAGTGGCCTTGCTAGCCAGTGCCCTTTGAGAACCAGTCTGCAGCTGAACTACTAATAGGAAAATTAAAAGTATGTTAGCCACATTATCATCCTATTAATGAGTGCTCTGTTTTTTTTTCCTCCAGCAAAATAGTCTTCCAGGACTTTCTAGATGAGGCATCAAAATTGCAGTATAATGAACTAGTACTAAGTTCATAACTTGGCTGTGAAATGTGGGGGAGA